TCAGGTTTGGGGGGAGGGAGGGGTTGCTTTGGTTTTAAACTGCGTTGACCTCGCACAAGAGCGGGGAGCACAACACGTGCCCGGAGGCTCCTTTTGGCCAGGCTCTCTTTCCACTGCATCATCCCACTGTCAGCTCCCAGGATAAGAAAGCCCAAGATGGCAGTGCAGAGGATAGCGCTTTTCAGAGAACTTCAGTTACGGTAAGTGCATTATTCTTCTCTGAAAGAAAGAATCCTCTGTAGGTGATCTTGGGAGACACTGAAATTAGAGATGTCTGTGCCTCCTTTCCCACAAAGCTCGAGAAAACGAGCATCCCAACGCCTCCCGCACCTCTGGGTGGAAAGGTGCCCAAACACCGCTGCTGCCAAGCTCGCCAAGTGTCGGGACAAACACAAAAGCAGCAGACACACATAATTCATCAGCGGTTACGCACGATGGAGCAGCCTGCCCTATGGTTTCTCAGAACCATAGATGAGATGGATGTGCATAAAGGGTGCCCGTTTGTATAAACCCTCGTGAAAATGAAAAAGAGCAGAGAAGCTCTTTTGGTAACGCTCCCAGCATGATGCCAGCAAGGAAATGGAAGGCTAGCTCAAATGGAACTCAGCGCTGACGGAAATGTTAAGTCTTGGAGTGGCCAGATGCGAGGGTTAACGAGACGAAGACACAATACGTGGAGCCAACAGAAAGATGAAAACAGGCAAACTCAGTTAACAACTGCGCTGTGCCAGCACAACAAAACCACCCATCTCCAAGGTCTCCTCCGGACCCGAGGGCACCGTCCTCTGCTGCTACAACACGCGAGAGGAGAGAGGAGAAGGGATAGGAATTCCGCTCCAAAATCTTTCACACCACCGATTTAAAATCGGCGTAGATGCAATAGGTCATGACTATGCACCAGATGGACGCTTGCCGCACGCTATGGAGATGCTCCTCCCTAGCAGAGCGACGGGACCGCGACGGCGTGTGCGTGCTCCCCGCCGCGTCCCACAAAGTGCTGGGTACCTCCTCCAGAGCCCGAGCGCTCAGCTCACAGCGATGCGAGTCTTACCAACGAAAAGCAACCTCGCTCACTCCAGCATCAGGCTCGTCTCTAAGGGGCTGCTCAGACCTGTCATCAATTTAAACTTGTTACTTGCAAACGCTTTGGGGTAAGCGGGCCTCAGGAGGGGCTAAGCACTCAGGGCTGATCTGCTTCTCGTGTATCAGTTTCCTCGGTCACAACACAGAAGATATTTTGACTTCGATTAAACATTGTTTGTGTTCCAAAAGCAAAAATGATTTCAGTTAATTTTCTCTTCTATTTGAGCATCCTACAGACCACTGAGATTTACGTCTCGCGTGTCTGTGTAGCAAAACGTTACCTGGATAAGTCAGAGCACAAAGCCCAGAAGTGCAGCTCTGAAAGCCCGGGTTCGTCCCTGATGCGTAGAAAGCTTACCTGCATACAAGCTCTAATGCCTTGCTGAACTGTCCCCCACCGCCTCTGCTTATACATTTCTTGCAGGGCATGGAGAAAGGTCAGTGAACGCTGGAACCATACACTAACTACAAAGCTTACAGCAAGCAGCACACAGGTATTATCCTCTGCACAATTCAGATGAGAGAGTCTCTGAATCCTTGGGACTTTACATCTCCTTTCATGCCAACACCCACCCTGTGCCTTCCACAAAGCCCTGACGGTCTCCAAAAGACACCCATAGATTCGAACCGGACTGCGAAGCAGCGGAAGGAGAGCTCTGCATGGGCAGCAACGCGCAGAGATGAAGATGAGCGGGCCTGATGAAGCATCGAGGTGCTTGAAGTAACACTTAAAAGAGCTGTTAGGCATTGGGGAAGAAACAGCACGCAGACCTGCAAGGCAGATCTCCTGCACAGAAGTTAGCGTGGAATACCTGGTGCTCGGTTTCTGCAGAGCACGTCCCTGCGTCAGCTGCGCACGCAGCCGCTGCTGCCCGAGTCGGAGGGGGAAAGGCGAGGAGAGCTCAGCCCTAGAAATGCCAGAACAGGGGCTGTGCCACACGGAGACACAACCTGCTTGCTTAAGGATTAAAAGGAGCAGAGAGTCCTTGATTCTTAACCTGGCCAAGAAAAGCTTCAGCTATTTTAGCTGAAGAAAACAAATCCCAACAGAATGCATCAGCATCCTTGAAAAGAGCTGAGGCATTCCCGTAAGCGCATCGGTCGCCTCACCGCAAGGTCAGATGAGCCGCCTTCTCGGGCTGGGCAACACCGCGCTTCCAGAAGCGTTCCAGAGGCTGTTTCTGAAGATCACCCCATCATCCCGGGCAACCAGGAGGGCAGCCCCTTCTGCTCCCCAGGCTCTGCTACTCCTTCCCTCCCCAGGAACACGGGACAGGGTCTTCCCATATAGAACAATATTTAAGATATTTTTCTGCTTCTTATAAAATGTAACTCAAAAGAATAACTGATCAGGCCACAAAAGCTTACAAGGAGCAAACAGCTGCCTCAGAGGAGAAGGTGCACAGCGTTATCTGGAGGGAAAAAGGTGCGTTTTCCCACCCGCCCAGCAGCCGCAGCGGGATGCTGGGCAGCAGCTGGGATTCATCCGAGCCGCTCCTTTCGATTAATTACCAGCGCTAGCTAGAGCCCGTCTGGAGCCGAACAGGCTCCCTGCCCCTCTGCCGCGGGGCGAGCCGGGGACAGCCAGGCACGGAGCGCTCCCAGAAGGGACCGGGGCCCGAGCAGAAGCTTCGCTGAATTAGCAGTGCCTAATTTTACTTTTGAAAGCAAGGCTTTTTGGAAATAGAGTGACAGTCCATGACAGTATAATGGCATTACTTGAAATTAAAATTTAGGAGCATTATTACACAGTTTTGGTTTGGTTGTTTTTGTTTTTTTTTTAATGATAAAACTTATCCAGAAATATGGATTTGAGTCACAGAATGTGTTTTAAGTCATATTTGTTAACAAGAACTCTTATAACGATCTATCCATTTATAAAAACCACATAATCAAGACTCTAAAACCAACAAATAGTTACTCCACAATTAGAAATTTTACTACAAGCAACGTCCGTAAAACAACTTTAAATGGAACGTACCAAAACCAGCATTTCTCATTTCTAGGTTCTGATGTAAATATAGCATCTAAACATTTTTTTTAAATCAGTTCAGGGACCTGTATCACAGCACGAAGGCAATGTTAATAAGTTAAACAAGGAAGTTTCAGTTTATTTTTAGCATTTGGAAACAGAAACAATAGAGCCAGATGCTCTGACAGAGAAAAGCGCCGTAGGATGAAATAAAGCAATCCCTTCATGGTTAAATACAACAAAAAATTGTCTTACCAACATGTATTTCCAAACATACTTTCCAGGACCTGTGGTAAAATCCTGGCCACAATTAGTAAAACAGTAACAACTCAACAAACTACACAGAAAACGGGATTCCACCCCATTTGTCCACGTTCTTTGAAAGCCCCGGATTTCAAAGAGATCACAAACGTTACAGCTCTCCAGCGGCACGCCGCACGTCCCGCAGACACGGACCACACAGCAGCCCGAAGGCAGGCACAGCGGGTAACAGCGGATGGAGCTCACGGCGCGCCCTTTCGTCAAGCTTAGTTAGGGAGATGGCTCAGCAATCTGCCCCGTCGCGGATACGCATTCCACGAACAACACAGATAAATTTAAAAAAACCTTAAATACGTGAAAGGCATACCTTCCTTTGCTCGGTTCCTCCTTCTTCACTTCTTTTTTCACAACTTCAGCCTGAAAGGCAAAGATCAGGGTTCAGTATCGATGACTTCCAGAAGCATCGGCACAGAATTTGCATAACCCAGCTAATTAATAACACCACGAACCCAGGTTTAGGCATGCATCACCTGAAAGATCAAATGACAGCCAACTGTTCTAAAACCGTTCCCCACAGGACACGTATTTCCTAAGATGACAAATAAAAGTGCGTGGCAGCGGAACAGATTTTACTAGAAGTTGGCCAGACAGAAGACGTGGCACACCACTCGTTTGTTCGTCTCGCCTTCAGAGCCGTCGTGGTTTTGAGCAGAATTAGCTTTTAGGCTGTGGTACGTTTGAGGGAGAGGGATGTTAAACGCACCTTTTCCCGGAGAGCACCTCCTTTCTGTACCGGTGCGGGTGCCGACGGCCGCGGCGCTCGGGCTGAACGCAGCCAGCCCGACAGGTAAGGGTTACACAGCACACGGCACACCTTTTCTAAAGGCAAATTACATTCCAAGACAAGCAATTATCTACAGTTTCCATCCCTTAAAACCTGCTAATGTAGCATTTGTTTCTTGTAGGGTGACTATACCTTTCTGCCTCCTGTTATGTAGAATAAACTTGTCGAATAAATGTGAAATAATGTCTTCTGGAAAAAAGACACCCACACACGATGCAAGCTCTGCAGCTCTCACCGTGAGTGGCCTAGGTCCAAGCAATCAAAAAAAACCCTTTAAAAACTCAGTGTTGAAATCTCCCTCTCTTTTCTGAAGGCATTCGACAAACTAATTTGAAGACTATCACTATTAGAAAGAACATGAGATAAATTCAGTGCACACAGAATTCACGTTAATCTTTTATTTATGCACATAATTCCAAAAGCCTTCAGTTTTCCCTTTCTAAAAACATCCATTCCAGAGATAAGTGCCAAAAGTAATCTGAACATGTTATAATGAATTAAAAATGATTTGGGTTTTCCTTCAGACTAGCTTCTGAATGAAAGGCTTCCAGAGAAAATAGCTTACGGCAAACGGAGCTACGCGCTTAGTGTTCCTACGGCACCCAGGCGTAGAACCCCGGTTCTGGCACCACAACCGGGACGATGGAGAAGAGAGAACAGACCCAAAACGCAGTGAAGAAGAACGGATGGAAGAACTCCGTTTTCCCACCTATCAGCGTGACCAGGCATTTCTCTCTCCATCTTGGATACACTCCTAAGCTTTATTTTTATCTGTATCTCCAGAGTACAGATTTATTTTAACATTTGTGCAAAAGCCGACAGCCGCGTTGACCAAGACTGGAAGGACACCGGCTGCAGCCACGCTCCAGGATCCTGCGCTCCAGTTGCACATCCTCCTGCACTGTTACGGGAGCTTCCCCCCGCTTCTGTTATTTCAGCAGTATTCAACAGACACCATCAGCAAAATTACGGACACAAAACTATAATGCGACTAAGCGAGCACTTCCATTACTGCTGTTACTGTGCCACTGGCACCAGTTACTGCTATCTGGCTGGCCAGCCTCTCTAAATCAGGCAAGCACCCTGTATCACCCAAAGGGCGCAGCTGGAAAGAAATATTATTTTGAAAACAGAGTGTGAATGCCATTCTTTGTTGGCATTGAACTCTGCTCTGATGAAACATTTATAGCGACAAAGGCACGTTATTCTCTTGCTACACAAGATATAGGGAACAGCTATAAAAAGCGGATTTGCATCACAAAGTGCTCCCACAACGCATCCTGGACAGACATTCCTTAGCTTGAGCACTTTAATGAATGAGATTTTGCTATTTTCAGTGCTAACCTTATTACTTACACTTTCTAGACTTGAGAAAAAGCTCATAAGCCGAAGATCTGGTTATCTTCTTCAGCTACAAACTTAGTCTAATAAAAGATATTACTCTTAAATGCATCTGACATCAACAAACGCAATTATAATTTATGTTCTTTAAAACGATCTGAAGCTCACTATACAAACTGAAATACAAAATAAAGTGGCTTGGAAGAAGCGCCTATTTCGTCCTATACAAAGAGAGTCAGCGATGGGGAGAATCGGCCCTGCAACGGGACAGAGCAGAGAGAGAAAAACTCTTGGAACATCGAATCCAGGCTCTTGCATCTGGGAGAGGAGAAAAGAGCACCCTACGCACCCGCGCTCACCAGGGTTTAGCTATCGGCACCTCGCCTGCAGCGGGTCCCCACCCCACATCAGAAGTTCACCTTACATACGGAAAGTTAAACCGGTTCTCTGAATCAAATACGTAATTACGAAGCATTTTCAGCATTGTTATATTGACTCTAGGCTGGTTGAAACCTAACGGGAGGGTCGCTCCTAACAAACAAACCACGGCCCTTCGGCCACGGACAAAGGCCCAGAACAACGGGGTGGGAAGAGCTGGGAGGGCAGGCTGACCACCGCACCTCTGCCGACATTTCAAAGGTAAAAAAGAAAGGTAAAAACCTACCTGATTTTACACAGGCTAGGCTCTGCACCTGCCCAGGAACCGCTGATTTACTTGGATAGGGGCACGATGAATCCGCTCGAAAAACACGTGTGCCCAGATCACATCTGGTTGTGCATCGTTGTACGTCCTAAACCATCGCAGATGCAACTCGACAACTATCGCGGGAGAGCCCTACCAGAAACGTACACCTAAAACCTCTGCTGACACAGTAAGTCTTTAAAACCTGAAATCCTCAACACAGTACAGCTGCCCTACAGACTTTGTAAATAAGGATGCTTTTCAAAAAAGCAGACGAAATCGACAATACAATAGAGAACAAACTACAGCGCAAGCCAACGATCAGTACGCAACCTGTTCTTTTATAAAAAAAAAAAAAAGCTGAAATTCATCGTGATGCTCAGCGCAAATAATACCGACCGCGTTCTCAGCATGGTAAGCAGAAGTATGCGTCTGGGTGGCTTTTTTCCCTCCCTGTTGAAGCAATGGACTGCTGCCCTTGTTATCTTTGGGCAACTGAAGTTAAAAAACTTTCCCCTGTGATGAATAGAAGTGAAGGGAAAAAAAAACCTTAAGATGCCCTGCCCCTGCAGGCACATCCTCTTGTTGGAATGGCATCCCAAAGTCCCGCCACTGACAAGGAACTACAACACGCAGGGAATGAGCGCTCCAAGAATGGAACGCACATGGATAATCATTAAAAAAGAAAAAAATCTGCAAAAAAACCCAACAAAACCCCAAAAAACCCTAATACACATTTTGGTCTCAATCTCGACCATATACACTTCGCATCGAACTGGTTAGCTGGCCCCTGTTCTCTCAGTTATGTACGAACTTTGACGAACAAACCTGGCTGGAATTCAGAGGAATAAAAGCCAACCTGCATCTCCCGACAATAAAGAGTTTGGAAGATGTGGCAAGAGATGGAGAGTCGCTCACCGGACAAATATTGGAATTATTTTGTTGGGTCAGGACATGAGAAAGGAACTGAAAAAGGAGAAGGCGAGGGCGTGCAGAACCAGCCAAATAAAAAAATCCTCGTGTTTGAGTGCTGAGTCAACAGCACTTTACCTCCGGGCTGTGAGAGGGGCCGCGGTGGACTCACCTTCCCCACTTTGGAAGCCAGAACACTATTGGCATGCGGCTAACGTTCGCGTTTCTTGCTTAAAGCTCTTTATCTATCCAATGCAACATGCACTAAGCTCCCTCCTCTCTGGCGTTCAGCGGTGCAGCTTGCCGTTCCTTCAGCAAATCCCCAGAAGCCAACTGGGAGCTGCTCCATACCGAGGTCATTTGTAAGAGAGAAGGTGGAAGCAGCTGTGGGCACACAGACCAGTGCTGACAGGGCAACTGAGTCTGGACCAGGAGGACTGAAGCAGATGAACTGCTAAAGATGAATCAAACTAGATGAGAAAAAACCTCTACTAATTTCAATTATCAATCCTTTTCTAACCAGTACTAAACAGCTGCTTTCCTCCTTTCTTCCTTTTTCCCTTCACCTTTCATTAAGGAATACTTTCACCGGTGGAGATGAAAGAGATTCTATGTATGTTTGTAAAATAGAGAAAGATACAAAAGAAAAGCAAACAGCAACACATACTTTCACACCTATGCCACATCCCAGAACGCAGACCGATCCAGTTCTCATCCACGATGACAGCAAACAGTGAAGGAAACACTGATGTTGTCACCATGAGCTGCCCTTCGTGGAAAGGTGGTTCTACTCCAGAAAAATAACGTATTCTTGAAAAGAAGACGTCTTACCTCGGCAGCCTCTCCGCTGGGTGACAGCGTACAGGTCAACGTATGCTCACCCATGTTGTAGGGGTACTGCTTCAGGAAGCTGTACATCGACCTGGCTGACTTGGGGCTATCCAGCTGCAGAATCGCCTATGAGAAAACAAGCACAAGCTTCGAATAACTGTCACTTTATCTTGCTTCACTACTGCAGAACAAGTTTAATAAATTAAGCTGGTGCAGCACGGGATATCTAGTATTTCTGAAGGGTCTCAACACCTTCATTTTAAATTAGCCATAAGCACCATTTTTTTGTTAAATCCTATGATCTTGCATAGGGAGAACAGTGCGAGGCTGAAGGAGGAAATCTCTCCCGGTTGGAATTATCTTTAGAACTAAATAAAGAACTCCATCGCACAACAGCGGAGCCTGGAGCTCCCCTACCCACGTGTCCCACCTCCCGGCTACAGAAAAATACCACCTTTTTCTTAAAAGCATCTTCACCCGTTTTACGGTTTATTAGCAGCTGGACACTTAAAATACCTCATAATAATGGGAGCACAACCGCATTTTAATCATTAAAATATACATGTACACATGGTGACTTAAATCTAGTTCATAAAATAAAAATCCCACGTTAAGTGCAAAAACAGCAACATTTAAAAAAATCAAAACCTAAAAAACTGAAAATCAAGTCACTACATTTTGAAGTGTCCCAAAGCAAAAAGTAATCGCAGCAATTCTGACATTTGCACTGCTCATACCAACACAGGTTTTTTCCCCCCAAGTCTCCTACAAAACGGGAACTTATTGTCCCCCACTTACACCTCTACTGTCAAACGTCAATAATTTTCCCAGCCAGGTGGGAAGCTTTACTTTCAGTGCTCACCAAACTCTTCTTGTATCGGTCAGGCTAGGTAACAGCCAAAAGTTTGGTCAGGTTCGCGGTTTTTTTTTTTTTCTTTCCCACTGTCCCTAAGAAATAAGACGAACTATTTTCTTGTTCAGGATGAGCGGGAGAGAGTCAGAAAGTTTGATCTCTCATTAGCAGAACATTCTTGGTACTGGGAGAGGAAAAAAATGGGGGTTTTATTTTTGTTTCCCTAACGTGGTACTTTGCACCATAGAAAAAAAACCTACTTACCTTGTTTTTATTCTTCAGTACGACATAATGATCTACTTTTCCAAACCGAAGTCCCACACAAACTACTTCAAGTTCTCTGTAGCCATCATCTGGCAAGTTCCCGAGATGCACAAACTGGCTCTGTATCGTTTCAGTATTTACCTGAAGAAAAGCGATGACCAAACTTGCTTTAACTTTGTAACACGCTCTATGAGCGACTACTGACCTAGGTTAGAAAAGCCCCACAGAAAGCTGCTGTATCACTCAGGTCTTACCAAAAACCAGCATTCACACGTATCCGTCTTACCAAAAAATAGCGTTCACACGCATTCAACGTTCACATTTTCACATTCACAGCAGATTTTCCAGTTTTCTATGCAGTACATCAAAAGAACCAGCTATACTTCCCAGTAAAGAATAACAAACGTAAAAGGATCAAGCTGAGCGTTTTAATTTTTTTTTTTTTGACTAGTAAGTCTCTTTAAGAACACTGCAAAATACAGCTGAAGTTTAAATAAAACTTGGTATTTTCAAAAGCAGACACTATCTAGTCAGATTATGAATTGGTCAAGGCACAGAAACCTATCCGAAAGGCTCCAATCCTGGTTTTTAAGTTGGCGTTTGGTTTGATCAGTCTGTAATAACAGGAAGATCCTTGGTCAAATATCATTTCTTGTGTTTCTCAGTTTCCAAGCGGAGTTATCGCCACCGCCGCGGGACGGGCTCTGAAGCAGACCGTGAGCCTCTCCCGAGCAGGAGGGGGCTGACGGGGAAGGGAAAGCCGCCGGCAGGACCGCGGGCTGAACCCTGGCACCAAACATTTTGTGCTGCATCAAAGGGCAGGGCCCTGGGACACAAAGTCCAAAGGCACTAACAGACTTCTGAAATCTTAGTCTTATCTTACAATACCTGAAAGCTGTGTGTCTTTTCGAAAGACAACGCTCTCTCCCAACAAGGAAGAGTCCCCCCCGCTCCAGGTCTGGTATGGTTTTGGTAGAATCATAGAATCGTTAAGGTTTTCTTCCATTATTCATGATTTTACCAGGAACAGAAAATAAATATTCCCCCACAAGCAGACCAGAAGCAGCAGTAGGATAGGGCAGCAGGGGTGTTGGCAGTAGGTGCTCAGATGGGTCTGCCGGCGCCAAACAACGATCCGCAGGAGAAAGCAGATATCCCCCCGCCGTTTGCCACTGAAAATTCAAGCCTCTTGGGTTTCTTGGAAAGCGATTTGTTGTCAGCAGGGCTCTTGGCAATATGCTTTTTAAACAAATACAACTACCTTCTGCTTTTCTTAAAGTCACTCTCGTGAAGCTCTTGTGCCAGCTGCTTAAGCCCAGGCACATTCAGACCCAATGACTGACCCTCTATCAAGAATATCCTGAAAATGCTTTTCACAGAAGCAAGACATAAAAGCTATCATTTCATTAACCTCTGCCTACCCACAACTGCATAAAAACCCTTCATACGTCAACTGCCAGCTTGCGCTGTGTGCAGCGAAGGAAGAGGAGGGATAATAAGGGAGACGCACTGCTACTACTACTGCTACGGGAGGTAGTTTTGACAGTTAAACCAAAATATCTGCCTATAAAACACGCTGGGAAAACGGGTGGCATCATACCCAGGCAAACACTGCATATCCTCCAAGCTACAGCGGTCAGCAGCTCGTTGTTAGAACACGAAAAGGACGTAACAGAAGGAGAGGGTCTCCAAGGGCTCCTCTTCAATGTTTCATCCCCTGCACTTCATGCCTCACGGAGCTAAACTGCGCGAACATTTATTCATGCTATTCCCTGCTCATTCGCCCACGAAAACATACATTAACATTTAATTCAAGAGAAAGCTTAGATAATGATTCAATTAGCTAATATTTCAGTACGAAGGACACTAATTCCCATTCAAAGTAACGTATTTTGATAGCACGTGGAGGAAAAGTTACATTGCCAGCAACTTACCTTAGGGTCAGAATCTTTAATTATAGCAGTAAATATCGCTTCCTTAAAAAAAAAAAAAAAAAAAAAAGGACATTTTAAGATTTGAACCTTAAAATAAAGCTTCACTAGCAGCAGCTAACTGGCAGCCACTGACTCCCAGCTTTTTAGTTTCTGCTTTATTAATCAAAACAACAGCACCAGCGCTTCCGACATCTGCATTATTCTCACATCAGGAGACCGGGGCCCAAAAGACATTTAACAGAATCAGCCCTCGACAGAGCACACCATCAGAATGCACGAAACAGGCAGTGTATAAAAGTCAGCTTAAATACAACACCCTGCTCTGTACTGAAACGTTATCACATTTCCTAGAATTTCAGTATATTTTATTACTTACTTCATCTTTTATAGTCTTATACTGAGGCACCATGTTGATGCAGAGCTGATTTCCATCCAGCGTCATTGGAAAGCAGGTGTAAAATTTAACCATGGAATCCGCAGACTTTCTATTTATTTCAAGATATGCCTTTTAAAGAAACAAAAATTTTTTTTAAAAAATTGTAATTTATCAAAAGCATCTCACATCCATGCTTGCCACGCTACATTATCGCATTTGCATTTGTTAAAAGCACATTTGCTGCTTCGCTAGGTAGAAACGCTACTAAATACCGATTAAAATACCTTTTTATGCGATGATAAAATGAGGACGTCCTTCAGTCCCCCAAATGGCTTTGCGAGGTTGGAAACTTCCTCAACAGAATATCCTTTCTCAGGCAAGTTTGAAATAAGAACCACGCAGATATCATCAAGCTCCTGGAATCAAATGGAAGTAAATATTACTGATATTTCTTCAACTCTAAAGCAAAACTGCTGTTTTCCTGAAGGGGGCATTGATTTTTGCTATGTAAAACCACCATTAAACTGAATGAAGCATTTGATTAAAAGCACGTTATAATACTTGCAATTACGTCAAAACCAAAGACCATTCAAGCTTTTGCAGGGTTTAGTAGCAAAGCACATTAAACAATTTTTTTTTAACCCTTTTCTCTGATTATGTCACGTAATCCACCTTAATTACCGCTTAATTATGGATGTAGCTACCTCTAAGCTAATTCTGCACAAACCTTAGGTTGTCTCACGCTACCTCATCAAAAATGCAAACCAAAGCCCCCTGTAATGACGCCACCGCTTTATATCCACGCCAGGCCCACGCATCAAATACCGCGGGGCCCTGTGTGCACGTGCTGCACCGAAAGAGAGGGAACCCCCAGGAGGGCAACGCAGCCGATCAGCGCACAAAGGAGGTTTGGCGTAGCTAACAAACCCTGAAATGGCAGAGGTCTATCAAATCCCAAACAGCGAGGAGAAAATAAACCATTCGCTGTATCTCACAAGAACTTAACAGGCAGGGGATTTGAACCGGAGGTTTTCAGACAGCACACCAACGCTTGGAAGCGGCACAGAGCGCGTGCTTACAACTCCCACAGACTCGAGCACCTTCAGCCTGACCTTGCCAGCTGCTTCTGTTGACTCTTCACTCTTCGTGGTCGCTATCGGAGCTTCTAAAGGGAGGAAAAAAAAAAAAAAAAAGAGTGGGTTAGTTTTGTAGTTCAGCGAATTCTTTGAATACTGCAGAGTTTTAAGAACTTCTTGCATTCCATTTTATCACGACCGTCATTGCGAAAAATGAAATATTCCTTCCTTTAAGCTTACAGCGACAAATGACGTTGGTGAGACACATACAGCGTTACATAAAGGCTTCCAGAGAGAACGGTTTAAACTAGGGATAAAATAATTAAAATCCCTCAATTAAGATGCAAAGACTTCGCTTACGTTAAGGCCTTATCGGCTGAATAATCGTAACCACAAGGCGTTCTTGTGGGCACCCTGGGACTACGGAGGTGCCCAGCGTGTGTCCGCACAATCTGTCTTTTCTTTCTTTTTCCTGGGAGAAGTCCACCGTGCCACGTGAGAGGCTCAGAAAAATGCAGAGGGCAGCAAAGAGGAAAACAGCAATCACAGGGGGCAAGCGAGCTCCGGGAAAGGAGAATCGCTTCTGTAAAATGTTTCTGCCTACCTCTAACAGGTTTGGCAACTACAGCCTCGCCGTATCACCACCATCACGTGCCTAGCAACTGAGAATTAATATACACTTACGCTGCGTTTAAAACAAAGCCTGTCATGAATCGGCCTGTTACTAATACAGCTCTATCAGGTGAACGTTCGCGAGACCTCGGGGCCTGACGGGATTCCTCCCAGAGCTCTGACGGAGCTGGCGGACGTCACGGCAGGACCCCTCTCCATCATCTAGCACAGGTCTTGGCAGCCTGGGGAGGTCCCTGCGGCCTGGAAGCTGGCCAACGCTATTCCCACCCACAAAAAGGGCGTGAGGGAAGACCCAGGGAACCACAGACGTGTGAGTCTAACCTCGGTGCCTGGAAAAATTATGGAGATTACACCGGGAACTACTGAAAGGGATTTAAAGACCAACGCAATCATCAGGCACAGCCAACCCGGGCTCACAAAGGGAAAGCCCTGTTTAACCAATATGATGTCCTTCTACGGTAAGGCCACCCGCCCAGTGGCTGACGGGAAGGTGGTGGATGTAGTTTTTCTGGATTTTAGTGAGGCTTCTGAGCCTGTCCCTCACAGCACCCTTCTGGACAAGCTGTCCAGCTGTGGGATGAGCAGGTTCACGGTGCACTGGTGAAGAACTGGCTGAACTGGGAGGCTCCAAGGGTTGGAGTGAATGAGGCTACATCTGGCTGGCGACCGGTCACCAGCGGTGCTCCTCCGAGCTCCATTCAGGGCCAGTTCTGTTCGATCCTTTTATCAATGGCCCGGATGCAGGAGCTGAAAGCCCCATGAGCAAGGCTGCTGATGATACCAAACTGGGAGGTGCTGCTGACTCTCTTGAGGGACAGGAGGCCTTGCAGAGGGATCTAGACAGATTGGAGCACTGGGCAGCCTTAACGGGATGAGATTTAACAAGTCGAAATGCCGGATTCCGCACCCAGGATGGAGTAACACCAGGCACGAGTATAAACTGGGAGAGGAGTGGCTGGAGAGCAGCCCTGCAGAAAGGGACCTGGGGTGCTGGTCGGCAGCAGGCTCGACAGGAGCCAGCAGGGTGCCCAAGAGGGCAAGCACAGCATGGCCAGCCGGCCAGGAGAGGGAATTGCCCTGCCGTATTCAGCGCTGGGCTTGTCTCCTTGGGAGGGAAGGAGGCTGAGGAGCGACCTCCTGGCTCCCTGAGGAGCGGACATGGAGAGGGAGGTGCTGAGCTCTTCTCCCTGGGATCCAGGGAGCTTGGGAATGGCTCAAAGCTGCACCAGGGGAAGTTTAGACTGGACATGAGGAAGCATTTCTTTACCGAGAGGGTGGTCAAACCCTGGAACGGGCTTCCTTTCGTGGCGGGGGGTGCGCTGCGCCTGTCAGTGTTTAAGAGGCCTTTGGACAAAGCCCTTAACAACGTGCTTTAACTTTTGGTCAGCCCTAAATTGGTCAGGCAGTTGGACTAGATGATGGTTGCAGGCCCCTTCCAACTGAAATAGTCTATTCTATTGTAATCAGTTATAAAATATGGGGAAAAATAGCATCTACTGAACCTGCTCTAGCAGGCAACTGAGATTAAAAGAATTAGCGGTGGAGCTGTAAACAGGACACAGAAAGCCTGAATCCTTGGCTCTAACGGGCTGTAAATAACAGTCCCCATGTCACACGGAAAAGGTCTAGGTAAAAAAACTATGTCCGCTGAAAGATGTAGATCTTGGATGTTTTTAGCCACTTCAGTCATCATGATGAGCTGTTGCTTTATTTTTCAGTTAGCGAACCTATTTGAACAGATTTTCTTTTCTGATATCCTGTGTCATCTTAATTTCCTGGCCTCAAAAGCATTCTCATCTAGTTCACAACAGCAGAGAGGTTTAAGACAGAAACCTGTCAGCTCGCAATTTACCTTGATCAATTAAAGCTTCATTAAACTCGTCCACATCCAACGCCGCCACCTGAGGCATCTGTGCAACTTTCTCTAAAAAACAAATACATTTGAGAAGACATCACAATGTTAAACTTCACATAACTTTCAACTAGCAAAGTAACTTAAAAACAACGTTGTCGTACAGAATTACCTAGGACAGGCGCAGGATTAGTCACGGCTTTGGACTGAGCCTCTCCTGTCTGCACAGCCTCCGTAACTCTGTCCCCTTCGGTAATGTTCTTTGGGTCTGCCAGCTTAGTCTCCCCAACTTCCATTTCGGCTTCTGTTGAGCTCTGAAGGTCTTCATCTATAGATTGTGCTGGTAGGTAACAGCAGAAAAAAAGCATTCTTCATTTCAATATATTAAAGTAATCGATTTGCAAAAGAAGAATGAACTACACTATACATTTTTCTGCCAGACATTCAGATCCAAATTCCTGCCCCTCGTTACAAACCGGCAGAAAACGCACGTACAGGAAAAGCTTTGCAAAACAAGCGCATGGCTGTGGTTATGTGCAAGGCTCTGCTTCCCCAACCTCATCTCCCTTCCCTGGTTCTTTGCTGTTCTAGTTCTACAAACAGCGCTGATTTTCACCGCATTCGCCCAGTCATGAGGAGCAAGAAGGCTGCTTGCCTATCGAACAATCGACTGCATTAGCAAGCCCAGCAAAAGGTGTGAAAAGCATGGACTCGCACTCCCTTAATATCTGTTCTGGAAAGGCTGGGGGGGGAAGGGGATGGAAAAGCACCTGTGTGTGTTTTCCAAGTAAAAAGTAAAAATTCTCATTTGTCTTACCCGCAGTATTTGAAGTTTTCTTGATCTTACCATCTCCTGTCACTGGCAATTTCTTAGTCCTTTCTTTTTTACCTACATAAAATATCCAAAACCAAGTCAGTCAGTAGAAATGCTTATTGCTTAAATCTTTTATTTGTGGAGTAAGAGTATAAAAATACATAAATAGTTTAATCTGCACAAATTCAACAGGTATGACAAAAAAAAAAAAAAAAAAACCAAAACCTAAACCGTAAGTTAATTCCCACAAATGCCTGAATGAGAGCCATGAAGTAGAGTATCTCATGTGAATTTGTTTAGGATTCTGGTGACAAAACCTTGCTCCTGCAGAAGTTTGTGCTTTCTCTTAAATGACTGTAAACAATTCACGGTTTCCATCCACGAGACAGCTCTGAAACGCACTGTTACATGAATCTTAATTCCATTCTGGAAACTGGCTTCAGAAAGGACCATGCTGACGAATGGATCAAGACCAACACGTCTTTAAAAAGCACGATTTCCCATCAAAATAACGTCTGGTCCCTAACTTTGCTCAGAAAATTGCTCATGAAAGCCAATAAAACAAGCAACAAAACCCGATGTGGCTGTTATTTCCAATGTCTTAATAATACCAAATTTTTGTAAAGTTTCATTGGCTCTGGATGTATTTACTGAAGTTTGTCTTGTTTCCATTGAAGTACTAATTTAAAAAAAAAAAGTTCTTCTCTGACAGCATGACATACAAGTTCTTCTGCCAGACCACGTAATAAGAGTAACTGAAATCATTTCTGTCAGGATCGATAGAAGACCAGGGCAGAAATTTCAAAGCATCTGGAAGGTCCAAGGAACGTCAGACACCGGGAAGCACTAGCACTAACTGTGAAAGGGAATGTTAAATACGTTATACGTTAGGCTTCAAGTCAACTTGAAGAATTACGCTCATTTTACGGAGCCCAGAGTGCCGCGCTTATCTTCAACAGATGGGGCAAACATTTACAATTACAGAGCATTAGCGCGAGTCAAGGTGGGGTTTTTTTATTGCTACTTGAGGGTTGGTTTTGTGGGTTTTTTAAAGAAAGAAAGATAGGGTGGCATGAAAGGGAAGACACTTGAAAGTATAAACCAGACGTTTTCTTGTAGCTCTCTGAACTTGCTTTCAGTCACTGTTATGAAAAGCACTCACATAAAAACAAAGCAATGGGAACAAAGAGGGAAGGCAGTAACAGAGGCATCATCAGATAAAAGGTAACCAAAACCTTACCTGTCATGGATTTAGTTGTCTTAGCGGTGGTGTTCTGATCTTTTCTGAGAAAAAAAAAAAAACGAAGAAAAATCAGTTGTAAAGACAATTAATGAATACTAAAAGCTAAAAAAGCTCAAAACCAGTAAAACACAAGAAACCAAACCGATATGAACCCATCTGGTTTCCAATCGGTATAACTAACACTAATGCACGTAATGGCAACACTTACTTTGTACTCGGTGCAACTTTTTTAATATTCTGAGCCAGTTTTTTTATATTCATTTTGGCCTGGAACGGACAGAAAGAAAAACTTTTACTGCATCATTTAAACTTTATTTATAAATGCATATATATACACAAAAAACAGTAATAATAATTAATAATAGTAACTAAGTATATGTATTACTATAGGTTGTATCTTTCACTGTTTGTCAAACTGACACTATTCACAAATAGCAAATTTAATCAAGAAAAATGGAAAGCTGGCCTTAGGAAGTGCATTTGCGTATTTGTTTTAGACTGCTGTTTATGAAAAGGAAAAATTAAAAACAAATTAGAGCTACTAGATCTATTTTTCTGGAGAGCATCGAGTTTTGGAGCAAAATACCAAGCTACACACAGAGTGTGGCGTTGCTCACCACCAGGCCGCTTACCTGGCCAGGAGATGCTTTTGGCTTTTCTGCTACGCTTATTTTCACCCGTTTCCCATTTACCAGCACTGGCACAGTTTCACCGTATTTCACAGCGGCTATCACGGCTTCTTTGTAGTTCATTTCCAAGAAGGCCTGAAATAAACGGCGCTTTCGGTCGTTGTTTATAGTACAGACACAAGATCCAATTCACTGCAATTGTTCCTTAGCAAACCTGCTCACGACAGAACTGCATGCACTTCTCTCTCCCTAAGTTCATGCCAAGTTGGGCAAAAAAGTCTGGATTTCAGCATTATACATAAAGCATCCTACTTCCTCTAACATTTAAGACCCGAGTAGCAAGCAAGACTGATTTTATAAAGTTAAGATTCCCAGCTATTCCAAGATCCCGTATGTGATCTTTAATGACAAACTGTTCAGGAAGCCTCATCCTGCGTTCAGCTGAGGATCCAAACGCTGCGCTTTTTCATTGCTTGACAATTCCTTTTGCATTCTGACACAAAAACTTTCTACGGGAAAACTTACCTCGTTTCTAGAGCGAAGTACAATGAGATCGCTAACTTTGCCAAATGGCTGAACGATTTTCTTAATATCTTGATCTGAAAAGCCATCATCTGGTAAATCAGATATTTGAAGGACTGTCCCACAACTCAGCAATTCCTCTCTCAACAGCTACAAAGTGAGAACAAAACAGAAATAAACACTTTCCAAGTCAAGTCCAGCAAAAGGAAGAAAAAAGAATCCGTAATAAAAACCACTTCAAAGTAGACAGACTGCTTAGTTCATGGTGGCATTTTGAGTTTTTTGCTTTTTAGCACAAGGACAGAGCCACAATTCTGTTGTTCTACTACTCTGTCTCAGCCTTCGGTTATGAGAAGACATGGCATAGGATCACCAAGTAACACAATACAACCTTTTTGTTTTTATCAAGTGCTACAGATCTACACAATTCCAGTCGTCTGGGCAAGGAGCTGCACAATTCCACTGCTTTCCTTTCTGCACTACCTATGAGCTTTCACCGGCACTGGGCAATGCCCTCTTTGCGTATCACTCACAGGCTAGAAACGACCGAGGATGACTGCGTCTTCCTCAACGATCCGGCAGTAACCGAACACAGATCTGGTTTATCGGCAGTGCTTCTAAGGGATCCCAATAGTCAGTATGGGGGACGAAGACAACGCTGGCTTAATCTCCTTCTTACTACAAGAGTAATAAATTTCTCTGCCCGTCTTTTTTGCTTGGCAGGGCAAAATGAACGCTTTCTGCCTCCTATCCGTTACTTTTTTTTCCACAATAAGCTCCTCCAAACAGAGCTCATCACTCACACTTTACACAAGTGCCCAGTAGAACAAGAACCCAAAGTTAATGGACATTTCCTTCTGCTGTTGGAAAGCACTAGAGAAGTTCTGCTTCACAACCGTTAGAAAATCCTCGCTGTGTAAATTACCATGCTTGCCTGCAGGCAGCAAACCTTCGCACGAAGACGGCCGTCACTATTGCACAGAAGCAGCGAACGGAACGGTTCATCTTTCCACAAGTGACCCCCCGACATGAGACACTAACCACGTTCTTAACGTCACAGAGAAAAACATGAAGAAACTCACCCTATTATAAGGAGTAGGATGAGGTCCACCGGTTCCTGTGGATAAATCTTCCTCATCCTCTTCCATTTCTTTGCTTTGGGGTAAATCATCAGTTTCAGGAGATGAAGAACTTGACCCAGGCACGTCTTTCTTCAAAGCCTTTGGAGAAACGCTTGTTTTCAGCGGCTTCTTCATATTTCCAGGCGTCTTCCCTAAGGGTCCATGAGAGGGTGGTGATTTTCCCGATCCCGAAGCTCCTTGCCCAGCTGCTTGAAGTGACTTATGTTTATTGAACTCTGCTACAAAGCCAGGTCCCAAACTTTTCACTACTGCCTCCAGAGCTGCCTTTCTGTCTGTGAGCGGAAGGGAACACAAACTGGGTTTTGTCTGTCAGTTTTTAAAAGAAAGCGTACATATAGTGCTGTTTGGGTTTCTACAGTTCCAGTTTCACCACCCACTCCCGATTCAAGCTTGAGATTCGCTGAAGTTCGAGAATCTTAATCACACTCTAGCAGAGATGGCCTATAAATAATAACAGACCTCAGTACTATTTTCACCGTGCCGTCCTGTAACTTGACATTTTTAGTTCAACTGCCAACGTGACACTGGCAACGATATCTACAAAGACCCTAACGGCTGGAGCAAAAGAATGATTGTTTAATTTTGTGTGTCAGGGAATGTAAGAAAAGAAACGTTTTCAAGACTGATCTTCCTCTCGCATACTGAGGCACAGCAGTACTTACTATCTTGATGCCTTCTGCTAAATCCTGTATCCTTCTCTGTCTTGCTCTTTGTCCTACAGACTGATGTGTTAAATTATTCTTTAACGATCTGATACAACATTAATTTCCTGTACGCTTTCTTTCTGTGGAAAATTTATATTTTGGTTATTAATTGCCACTTCCCCTCATTCTTCTACATTAAAATGGCTTGCGTGTTACCCTTAAGATCTCTTTGAAACTGCCTGTCCCTTCACAACTTTTCACCTAGCCTTCTTTCCCACAAGAGCTCAGTACCTCTTAATTTTCTGAAAGCATACAAACAACATAGCCACAGTATACAGAGCAAAGAAAAATAATCAACCTTTTAAATTTCCTCTTTTTTTTTTTCTCTTCAGAATTTAAAAAGAAACAAAAGCTCCAAACAAACGGGTATTTGAGCCAGAGACGGAGCTCAAAATGAACTACCTGGAACTGACCGAGTTTACATAAAATTTCCTAGAACTGCAAACCGGAGGAAGTAAGCTGAAGGGAGAGGCACAAAATGGTGCAACGAACTGAACTGTCACGAAGGACGTTTCGTTGAAAGCCTTTCACGTACCATGCTCCTATCTCAACACAACTCTTTCAGAGCACCATGCTCTCCTTGTAAAACGCACCTCCATTCAACGCAGCTTCTGAGCGTCCCGTTTTCCTTCTCCTCACCTATACCACCTTTGCAGAACTACTTTTTTTGATGCTGAAGGAAGGAGACCCTTCAGTTGTTTTCAATTCTTGACTATCCTTAGGGTTTAAAAACCGAGCACGCTTGGAACAGACCCTTGTTCAATTTGACACGATCAACCAATTCCTGACCCGCGGTAAGGAAGACTTCAGACCTTTTCAAATGCCCATTTTTTTCTAAGCACACTTCTCACAAAGCAACAGCAAAAGGAAAAGTTGTTTTTAAGAACAGTATTTTGCTATGAAAAATGCCTAGGTGACACCCAGACAGAGAAGCCTCTTGAAATCAACCCAGTTTTCCTGAAATGAAAGGCAGTTTCAATCTGGCAGCACGTATCCACCCTTTACCTTGAGATCGGGTTGACCTCCTTGATGACCAGTCATTACTGGAAGATCTCTGAGGTCGCGGACTAGTTCTCAGTGGATTTCTCGATCGCTGCGGTGACCTTGACCTGTGCCTGGGGCTACGTCGTCGCATCTGCCGCGGGCTTCGACTTCTTGGCCTTGTTGGCCTGAAGCGGCCAGGGCTCCTGGATCTCGATCGTGATCGGCGAAGAACATAGCCAGAGCCTGCGACCCTCGAACGCCTGGGACTGGGGCTGGCAGAGTTGGAACGACGCTTCGGGGTCTGGTTTTCTTTCCTATCACCAGCATTTCTACCAGAATAAAGGCATATAATGAGTTTTGAGAAGGCAGAACAGAATAATTACCCCGAATCTGCTGAAACAGACTTTCTGCAAAAAAGAACGAACACCGACAAAGTTTAGAGTCTAATTTGTTAACAAACACACTTAACATACTGGTAACGTGGTTACAATATGAATTTAGGATAGATAGACAGAACCGAGAAGCAGCGAGCAGGAGAGAAAAACCTGCATGGAACAAGAGAGAGCCATAAAGAAAACTGAAGTTACAAGCTGCAGCGCTACGAAAAAATAATAGGAAGAGGAAAAGGATACATGAAAGAGTAACGAACTAAGAGACTTCCCTTGCTTCTTCCGACTTTAGTTTGGAAGTAAGCAACCTTGAGACGTTATGTCTAAAAGACTGACTGAGGCTGAGGGAGAGACTTGAGAGGACTACATAAATATACACCCCCTGCATACTTAGGCTACCTAGAGATGTTAAATTGATGAAAAACATGGAAAGAAGTAACAGTGAAGAGACCCATGAGAGAAACAGACCCTCTTCGAGACACGGGAAGTGGTAGGCACAGGAAAACCCTGACAGGACAGATCCCAGGAGTAAAAGGGAAAACCCTGAAAACGCACTGAGTATACGCTTAAATATCCAGAACGTTTTTAGGAGCTCGGCAGGTGGCAGGCCAGCGTGTTACAGCTGAACACTTGTCCAATTTTTTAGCCCATACCGAATTCTTTGATGCCAAAGATACACTGCACCGGCACTCAGAACTGCGTAGAGCAGACGCAGCACCTTTGAGATCTGAAACTGGAAGAAGCCACGGATGCAGCACATCCTTCGGCTTACGCACTAGTAATTACAGCAGCAAAACTAAAAGGGACACGGGGGAATAACTGACACGGCCTGTATGCCCAGTACAACTGGACTTACTGGGACGACAAGTCAACTAGACTGGACAACTAAAATACACAAGTCTCCTAACGCAACACGGAAGAGAAGTTCACATTTCAAGTGAGAAGTGTCTAAGTTTGTTAAAGGTCATCTAGAGCATCAGCGCTTGATGAATCACCACGTCGAGCCCCGTTATTAATGTTTAAGCCTTTGAGCAAAGTTCCTTTGAGATGAAATAGGTTAAGGAGAGAGGATTGACAACTGGCACCAGCAGAAGGGGAGGGCAAGCAACCGAGGCAGCTGCTGCCAACCTTTCTGGCCAGCAGCTCCATGAGGACAGGCGAACAACCTCGGGTCTCCTAAACGTTCCTCCAACCCGCCCCACGTAGCAACGTCTCACAGCGTTACTTAATTAGCAAGTTTCAAACATCGTTAAAAATCTATATAAACCCCATTATTCCTGCGCCCAATAAAAACGTTTGAATGTATCGACAAACCAGCGCACTTTATAAAAAGCAAACGCTGTGAAGTGATTTCCCGGAGCGGTAACAGCACACGGCAAGCTCGCTCCGCGACTGTGCCCAGCGGCTCTGGGCATCCAGGCTCGCCGAGAGCCTACGGCTGCGTCCTACCGCTGCCGGCTGGAGCCCTGCTGTCATCGGGAAGGATCTGGGAAAGCACCACCCTACAAGACAACTCCTGCCCCACCTGCAAGCACGGAAGATCCCCCACTCACAAAAAGTGCTATTAAAGACTGCACCAGTTTATGAAGTTCCCCCAGCTACGAGCAGTTCCCTTTGCTGGGCCGTGCAGGGCACCGGCAGCACTCGACAGCAATGTCAGTCTGAGGTTTTAAAGTATCATTATTCTCTTTGTGAAAGTTTCAAAAGTTTATTTGTTTCATTTCTCTCTTTAAAGTTTTATTTCTCCTTTTTTATTAACATGGAGAGACCTCAGGTGCACTCTGCAAATTAACCTGACCTACATATCCAGCTTTCTGGCTCTTTTTTGTAAACTGAATAGTTAGCTTCTCGGGAAGTACGTCAAACTAATTAACAGAAAGTCACAGGAAAATCTAGCAAGACTTAAAGTCCTGTCATTCCTATTTGTATGCAAGTTGAAATAGGTACAAGTGCTGAACCAGTAAGATAATCCAATCCTGCTGAGATTCAAGTAGAATTAGCCCACAGGGTGTGTTTTTAAAAAATTCATAGTAAACAGCATACTTTGCAAGGACAGAACAGACATGAGTTCATGAATTCCAGTGGTTTTTCAAGTTGCGATCACGCAGCTCCCCAAGGGATCTAGGGACTGAGGAGTCTGAAATAAGAGCTAACACGAGCACGCCTGCCGGCGAACGGGCTTCAAGCTGCCAACAGGAGTGGCTGAACTGGAAAACAGATGAAGCGTAGAAGTCAGAAATCACTCGCGCAGTTCAATCCGTGCTCTAACGCTGGCCAGTCTCGCTCGGTTACCCTTGTATCACACCCAGTAACTCACGACTAACCGAGGCACGGTTGGAGGAGAGGTCCAAGGGGAGGCTGCCGACAATATCGGTACTCAGACTTTTCTACAGACTCGACTCTCATCCTTGTGAAAGAATCTCGGATACCGTGCCACTCATGTTATTAAACAAACGTAGGACAACACCCACAAAAAGTCCCCACGCGATTTTGCAGCGACAATATGACACCACTAATAGAGCCTGCCAGTCAGCAAAACAGGAAAATTAATTGCATTAATTACCATGTTTATAATAGCAACAAATTAAAAACAACCTGTAATCAAAAAGCAGTTACCTCTTCGAAGACTGAGACTCAGGGTTCCAATCAGGGTATCTGTTAAACGTTAAAAATACGACCGTCAGTGAAGCAGCTGAATTTGCCACCCGAACGCAGTTTTTGCTCGCATGCAGTAGCTTTTACAGAGAAACGTTCCCGTTCGGGGCCCCAGCAGCACCGAGCGCCAGTTCACCTTTTGCCCTAACGGTCTAAAGCCAATTCAGAGCAGCGCTCGGATGCGGACAATCCTCATTACGGAGCTCTGGCAAGTACGTTTCCACAGCCTACGTGCATGCACAGAACACACTTTTTACACTAAGCGAACTTTTTAAACAGATCCCTTACTGTTGACGTAACTGGCGGCAGCTTTCAATGTGAGATGGAGTGTTCTGATGCAGAATCCAGTCCTAATTGGAGAAAAGACATCCAGAGACATCCGATTAGCGTGTAAAATGTTACCATTTGACCACAATTTCTAGTTATGTGTTGTCATATTTTACCTTCCATCAAGCTTTACCTTCCATCAAATTTTACCTAACAAATGGTCTTATGTCGAGGTCAAATTTCTCACTTCTAATTATTACTCTTTATGCAAAAGATGACAATACGTAATGATTATGAAAGGCTCTTAAAGCACACAAAGGAATCTAAGTGGAAGCGGAACAAAATGCATGGTATTCAATGAATCTGTTTCTTCCAGCAACACACTGGGTTGTTGTCACCACACTTCCAGTGCAGCAGGTTGATCCAACAGCCGGCTATCTTAAAAGAAAAGAAACTATTAGCAGTCTTCACAGATTGTCAGACTGGTGCACACACACCCCACAAATTCAGCTGCGTAAGTCAGAGAACCCGACGCAACAGGGAACCTTTAAGCCAAATATCATTTCTACAGAGGCGTGACTTCTCATGCCTTCAGCCCAAGAACATTCACTCCCAATAACGTTACAGCTAAAGGTCAGTCAAAAAGTCTGATGACATTTTCACGCACACGCAGATTTTTTTTTTTTTTTATATTAAAAAAAACGGTATCAGAAGTTTTACTTGGGAATAACTGATGGGTTAAGCACGAGACAAATCCAGAAGTGCAACGCAAGCCCTCAATCTTGAAATATACTTAAGCACAGGCTTAACTGTAAACACAGAACCAGTCCCCAGCATGGGAAACTATGCCTGAAGGCTTTATTCCAGTGCTGTTATGATGAAAGTAATCCGACCTGCTAGCGAAAGCGACTGCCGTAGTCGGTTTGCTGTCGAGAAGAGACGTTGCATGGTCTGAAGCTGTAAGGTACCATGTCATCAACAACAATTACTAAGCACCCTTAAAAAACCAACTTCCAGCTGCTTTAATATTTTAAAATAGGTAATGATGGCTGAATAACGCAAGTGACAGGCAAGGCTTCATAAAATAATTTGCAGTTGTGAAATCACATATCACTTTTTCTAAGCGCGTGCTGGTTTATAACACAAAAGCCTGTACAGCGCGTAGCTGCGGCATCAAACCCTCTCGTTTATTGACAGCAATGCGGAACACGCCGGTTAGAAGAAAAGCTGGCGATGGTTTACTCGAAGCCCACGAAGTGGAACAACTAATGGGACCTGGGCACAGTCAGTTTTGTGCATTTTGGCAGCACAGAGAACGTGGTGAAAACAGCTTGCTCCTCGCACTTACCGTATCAGCCTATCAACACCGCAACGTGTTACGAGACAGCTACCCAAGCTATTTATACTCCACATACAAAAACCGTGGGTTTTAAAGACATTAAAATATATTTTAAGCACAAGACTTATCGTTTCCTGAAGACACAGATATACCGATTAACCAATCTCAGAAAGGCATTGAAGGATTTTACCGGCTGTGTTCACGAAAACATTCTAATGTTCAAATAAAGTCAGAAAAATCTTCCTCAGAAGACCCCGTGCGTTGGCCTCACCAGGGAACCAAAGCATGAAGAGTCGAAGGGCAGACTGACAAAGCCACTTGCGGCTGCAGGCCTGCGTGCACAGCGAACACACGGCGTGCACACAAGCGAAGAGAGCACGCGATTCACCGTTACGCGCTTCCCCCCCCCGATAACATGCCATTACTAAGCAATCCCATTCTTAAGAACGCTATTCTTCTAGAGTCTGCAAGTTAGGAAAAAGAAAACCCATACTCAAGGGCTAAAACGAATTAGCTTGTGGAAACGAAAGGAAATTGGGCTTCGCACAGCCCACTGCCGTGGTCCCAACCGAGGGAAGTGTGCGCAGCGCCCGCGAGGGCCGGCGGAGGCCGTTTTGCTTCCAAGCGTCTTTAGCTACCGGTCCAACGAGCACCAACGAGACTGGCAGGCCTACAAAGAGATATTCTGCTCCCTAACAAACGCAACATTCTTTTCTTCTTCAAGTCTTCGTTATGCCAATGCCCTCTTGCATTTCACAGAATTACAGGAGTCTCGATTTATGCATATTCCTCCTTTGTGATTAATTCCTCGCCCTTCTCAGTCTTCAGAAATCCTCCGCTCCCTCTGGCAAGCCTGTCCCCAGAGAGGATCCTTCCCCTTCCCAGCACAAGCACTCCATCACCTCCGCTTGCAGCCGGTTTCCCACGGCGGCAGCGGCACGGCTGCCCCACAACCCGACGGCCTGGGGACCAGCACCCCTCTCGGCTAATTCCGCACGCCCGGCACGTCTCCTCCCACGTGTGCACCACCACCAAAAAGGTCCCGAAGAAGCAGCCGACGGAGCACGGCGTCTCCAGCCTCCAAACTCGCCAACAGCAGGACAACGGTAAGACACAGGGATAGCACCGGCACTTGTTCGTGCTGGTCTCACAGCAAGGTATCGCGTAGGAAAAACAGCAGTAAAATGGAGTAGACCCCGTTTTGTCCCCTTACTTCAGCAAAGGAATCGTAAGTCCGTTTCTCTGTGGAAGGCAATGAGTCCCCATGACTCCATGCAACTTAAAGCCCAAGAAGACGTCACCCTCGCTTTAAATCTATTTAAGCCAGAAAGCAAAATTTGTAACACACAGTAAATGATCCCTCATGCTGGCAATATTGCAAACCTACTTTGTTCCAAAAGTGACATGTGTTTGAAGACAGAGAAATCACACTTTATTATTCCAACACATCCACAATTTCCAGTTGAAAATGAAGCTGCTCTGTGAAATATTTATGAAATGTTTCAATATGTTGGAGGTTTTGTAAATATATTTGAAAGAAGACAACACTGCGGTAAGGTTCCCTCTAACTAAGGGCAGAATTGGGCACTCTTCCCTGAAAAAACATTGCAGGACACAAATACACGAGTTTAGAGAACACCTTCCAGATCAGCAAGTCACCTTAGCGTCAATTAATTTTCCAAATTAATTTTTTAAAGCTCAAAAAGCCCACCTTTCCTACGTACCTTTTCTTCTAACGCAGTATTGTGTACAGCCAACTGACAAAGCTACCGAAACCTTCCTAACACAAGATAAAAATAAGGACAGATCTTTCACGTTTCTGATGCTGCTCCAACAACAACTAGCTTCCAAGTCCACGGTAATCATGGTTTACCACAAACCCACAATATTTCAGACAGCCACGTAGTCTGTTAGAGCTGATACCCAACTGGAGGACCACAGATAGCCGTGTCTGAAGCCGCGCCGTAGATTGAAAAAGCAGCCCTTCTCCCAGCTCACCTCTGAGCAAACACCTCACCGAGACCCAACCCAGGTGGCTGGAGCCATCGCCAAATAACGGAGGCTCCCACCACCTGCTGCTAAAGGTCCAGCGCACGGTTTTGATAGGCAAAGAAATGCTGAGCAGAGTCGTTCCAAAGTCTATTGCAGGAAACAGCTGAGGGACTCTTCACATTCAGCCCTGGACCGCAGGCAGCCTGCCCCGCAGCCGCTGACCTGCCGACTACCACTGCACACCCGGATTATCCACACGCCTTATCAAAAATGTTTCAAAGCCTAAAAAAAAAATTTTTTTAACATCTAAAAAAAATTTTTTTTTGACAGATCTACAATAGCTATGCCATACGGATGGAAGATATTTTAACTTCTGAACAGTGTATTAGCAAAAAAGTCACCTTCGAATACGCGTAAGTAGTTCTGTTGAAGAGGTGTTCAGGATTCTTTTCAGATTACAGAAGACCTAGAAAATACAGTTACTTGCTTAGCTGTATGACACTCAAAACAGAACTTTGTATTTTGATATACTGCAGACATCTGTCTCAAGGTAATCTGCAGCTTTGATTTCATCGGACCTCATTAATTAAGCAAGTTAGAATCGTAAGAAGACAGAGCTACGGGAAGAACTGCTGGGATGCTTCGGGGAACAGCAGAAGCGTTTTCCACTCCAAGCCAAAACTCAGCCAGTGTTTCGCTGCGGTTATGGGAGAGGCGAGCGGAAAGAACAAGGGGGATACAGTTCAGGTGATGCAAATACGAAGCCTTGGCCACCGATGGTCACGTAGCTTCAGAGGCAGGCTGACGCTCCGGGAGCAGGAGCTGGGTCTCACACCCAGCCGTAATCCTGGCATTTATTTATTAAAATGGCAGGTAAGGCGCTTGAGCTCTCCTCCGACAGGCAACGCAGCTTGCGCTTCAACCTTGGCAAGAAGATGGCTCCTAGAGTTTGTGCTTCAGGACAAGACTGGATTAAAAGAATCTACAAAAAAAGACAGCTCGTCATTGTGAATCATCTGAACTTGGAATCCACCATTTTAACACTGTTGAAACTCTGTTTTTCAGATATCCAGTATCTGCAAGCGCTGAATAAAGAGAAGGTCTTCCTCATTCGGTGTCTTTCATCATCTTCATCCGTTCTTGCTTCACGTTACCCGCTTTGCTTGCCTACTTTCTTCCCAACTTGCTGCGTTACAAAGGCATCTGTTTATAACGCAGCACTCTTAAACTGCTTGTTACAACGTGGTACCGCACACCAGGAATCATCGCATCTAGTCGCTTTGACCTAAGGACAGCTCCTGAAGACTCTACAGGTTCATCTACAGGCATGCTGGGGAGACCAAAGGCCCATCGACCTTACCTAGCACCTCTTCTCCACCATCAAGGACTCCTTGAGCCGTCGGAGGGTCTTTGCATAGCCTCTGAAGGACCTTCTTCCATGACCTTGGTCAGTTATTTTTCACCTAAGATTTCACAACCTTGTGGCAAACAGTATCTCTGCTCTGTGCGAAACACCCATTTCCTAGCGCAAGCCCTACCGCACACGACTAGCGATTTTTACTGTATCGTTTCCCCATCCCTTCTCTTCCCGTTCGAAAGCACTGTTTTGTACGCTCAGCACAACTTTAAAGGCAAAAAACAAAAATCTAGGTCATCTTTAACCATGCAACTGAGCCAAAGAAGACAACTTTATTTGTAAAACCAAACTGTAAACCTGAAAGTAAGAGGAATTCCTCATTCTTCAGAATTCACAAATACACAAGACTGACATTTCTTAACACAAACTTTTATTTTTTGCAGTAAAAAAAACCCTCACTCTCTTGGTTATTTTGCAACACTGTTGTCTAAACACGGCTCGCTCCATGAGGTCTCAAAACAGCCTGAACTGCCTAGGCAGCAGCAGGTGTACGTAAAGACAAAAAATCCTACTCAGAATAAAGTTAATACATGCCAGGGCCAGAAGCAGCCACGACAGGGAGGAAGGGCTGCGTAGTCGCAGCTGGACCGGAGCTGGTCTGGAGAGCACCGCCAGCTGCTACGCCGCAGTGCCGTTAGGGCGAGTTAACACCTCGCATCTCCCCAGAAAACTTCATGGCTAATTTGTCAAGAAGTATTTTTAGTAAAAACATTTGCTTCACGTTAGAAAGCACCAGTAAGCAAGCGACTGAATAATTCACATTTAAACAGATTACACTTTTCCAAAGTGCTTTGTCCATTTATTAACACAAACCCAAATTTGTTGCCCTGTTCAATTTTACACACTTTTCTTTTAAATCAAACTTCCCTTTAAGTTTTCAGGTCTGCCCACACAGCTGCGCTTCTCCCTGGCCTTCAGTGCTTCCAGTGTAAAAGGACTTGAAACTGTATTTTTATTGCGAAGCCCCTAATGCAGGTGCCGCCCTCCGCACTATCCGCTCCCCCTTTTCGTGCGCAGCACACACAGGGCCTAGCGATCTTGCACGATTTTGCCAAATTGCAAAAAAGCACTCCTCCCCCACAGGCTTTCCCCACCTTCGTTGAAGACTATTTAAAATTTAAACACATGAAACTAATAATGAATTATTCCTTTTTTTTTTTTTCAAATTACGTTCTCCTGCATTTTTGACATATCAAGCCTAGGTCTTTCAAGAAAAATCCACAGCCTTCAGAATGCTTTTCTCTCTCCCAGTATTCCCCAGTTCCTTCCTTTTCTTCCTTCAAGAGCTGACACTTATTTGCTTCATAGCTGAAAGCGCAGTCAGATGAATGAAAGCATTTTGTGCGTCCCTCAGAGCTAGTCTTCAGTCTCTGGAACAGTCAGCGTCACACAGACCACATTTGGAAGATTAAATTTTTGCGGATAAACAGGCCGCTTTGTTTTAATGCAGACTTGGCCGGAGGGGGGCTGAATACATGAACGTCTCATCTACCCTACCGAGATTCAGCACACAAGTTTTGCACACATTTTAGTCACCCAGATGACGTTAGTATTTTACTCCACTGATAAAGGGTTTGTTTTGTCACTTGAAACCCGCTGCAGAAGACATAAAGAATTTTTAATATTAAAAAAAATGAAAATCAATGCGTATGGCAATTTTGAAACGCAATCTGGAACAGAACACGCTGTGCGGCAGTTACAACCATTTCCTAGCACTGTTTCTAGCATTTCAAAATCTGCATTTAAGCACTCAAACTGGCGGACAGCATCATTTAACGCACAGTAAAAAATTAGTTCATAAAACAGCGCAGCAGGTAAGATGCCGAGTACAAGTTTATGCAATAATCTTTGAAAGACACTCACCTTCATATGAGTGCATTCAATGTTACACAGAGAACACATATGTGGGAATATTCTTGGAGACGTGGCATAGTAGTCATTCATCATTGACGGAGTGGGCAATCGTTTTATCTTCTGGGCATCGGACTGCAGAAACACTGGAAGCCAGGATGCTTTCACAATGCCAAAAGGAGATTTAATCGGCCCCTCAGCCTGCGTCTGGAAGGGCTTCTGTCCTGCTCCTGAGCCGCTCTGGGCGTTAGACTGGCTCGTCCCAGATTCATGCTGAATTCTTTCATGCTGGCTTACAGCTGCAAGAAGTTCAGCCGAAAAGGGTGGCTGGGTCATGGGGGGCATCACGTGCTGGCTCATGGACTGCTGGACGAGAGGCGGCATGACAGGCGGCATCATGGGCTGGGCCAAGGCAGGCATCATCGGCGGCATCATCGGCGGCATGGCAGGCGGGACTGCAGGCTGGGATGCGGATTTCACCATGGGGAGTCCGGCGGGGGTTGCGCACAAACCGGACACCTTTCCCGGAGTCTCAGCTGGAAAAAAGGATCGAGTATTTGAGGAATCATTCTGGAACCCCGTCGGTTTTATTAAATCTTCGACTGGAAACACCGGATTACACGTCACGCTAGACGGCGGGACGCCCATCGACATATTCTGCTCTCGTTGGAAGTCTTCCCTGTTCTCCCCGCTCGATGCTTCGGGATTATAGACGCGTGCTTCGAGAGGGTCTTCAGTCAGCGCTTCGGGATTGTAAGCACGCACTTCCAGAGGATCTTCAGTGTAACCGTATTTGCTCGCGTGCCCGTAATCAATCACTTTACTCTTGACTGCTGCGCCGCTCGTACCACCGATCGTTTCTTCTGCTCTGCTCTGAGAATGCAAACCAGATAAAGAATGACCCATCTTACGAATCCGTATTTCTCTTAAGATTAGCGGCATGTTTTCAGGCGTTAACTGATCGTCTGGATAGCGACTGAGTTCCTCCAAATCTTCGTTAGACAGCCCGAAACTCGCTAAAATACTGGAAGCGCTTTCTGGTGTGTAGCGGCTCTGGGCATTTGAATTCTGCTCCGAGATCCGTGCCGAGGCCGATGGCTTTTGCCCAGTTGTCCCAGCTGCGCACGGGCTACTATCCCAGCAACTTGTGCGAGGCTCTCCCTTCTGCTCCTGGTGTAGGTTCGTCTTCTCCTTTACCCGCCTGGGATCAGTCCTGTGCAGAGTTACCCGAACGTTTATCCTCTGTGAACCCGTCCACTGAAATGTCTCCTGTCCCGAAAATCTCTGGGACATCCCTTGAGGTGTTCCAGGCGCAGGCTTTCTCTGAAGACCTGCTGCGCCTCCTCCCCTAAAGGATCCTGGAGGCTTTGTGCCAGACGGATTAGGTCCTCTCGGCCTCTGAGGCAAAGTTCCTCTAGGGCTAAACATTGCGTTTTTCAGAAATGCCTGATTTAACCAAGCATAAGGAGGTGCAGAACTGTTGGTAGCAACTGAGGTCAATTGCTGCAGAGCCAACTGTGTCTTAATTTGTGCAAGCTGTAAAGGAGGAGGGCCCAACAGAAGTGGGCTTGCAATGCCAAGGTTCAAGGAATTCACAAGTGGTGCGAAACTTTCCAAGAATAACACAAAGCTGAAAGTTAAAAGACAAGTATTAGATTATTTTGTCTTTTCACCTCCTCTACGCGGTGGATTCTATAACCGGTGAGAAAAACAACTGAAGTCACAAAACAGTATTTTAATGACAGTTTAAATGGTACTTTTGAATTCAAAATTCTGTTGAACAAAACCATTTTCTTTCGCTGGATAAAATCTTAATATGCAGCGAACAGATAACAGATAATTAAGTAAGTGAGCTTTACCCAACAAGCTCAGTGTCACAGATAACACACCTAGCGATGACACTC